AAGTCGCCTCTCCCCAGACTCACCATGCCCAGTTGCAAGGAAGCTATTACTCGGCCGCCATCTTGCTCCTCAGTCTATACTAATGTTTTTGTTTGTTTTTGTAGTTTTTGGTCGGGGCTGGGTTTGAACCCGCCACCTCCAGCATATGGGGCCGGCACCCTACTCCTTTGAGCCACAGGCACCGCCCCCTATACCAATGTTTTTAATAGCAGTAGACTGTATATAAAACTTATATATATTATTCTTGTACAAATATTTGTGTTATCTTACATCTGATCACTATAACTACACCTGCTTATCAATCCCAGGAAAGCAGAACAGAACACTGAGAGCTTACTGTAAACACCAGGGGAGGACTCCACTGCAGAGCTTGGCAAAGATCATCACTATGCCAGTCACCAGGAAGAGATCAAACCCTTCTGTTGCACCTTGGTATCAATGCTGCGCAAAACAACATATTCAAGCAACAGATGGAGCAACACTTTACTTACAAAGAGATGAGACCATGAGATCGGCTCCCGTCCACGGCCAGCATTTCCTTCCCAGCAGCCAGTGTGGGGCAATTAACTACGTGCTCCCCTCTCCTGATGCCATAGAAGGACCCTGTCCTGTCCTCATGGAGAACCCATATGACACACACTTAACAAAGGATCATGCACGAGCTTACTAGAGGGAAAGCTATTTTATGCAAGGCAGTAAACCAACAAAGATCGTGTGCTGCTTTCGTCTCTGCCAGGCTCAAGATCAATTTTTTTTTTTTTGGCCAAGTAGGGGTTGAGAGACTGCATTTCCAGCAATGATTACTCCAAGTCATATGTAAGAGAACTGAGTTCATGATCTCATTAACAAGTGATATTAATAGTTTCTAAATGTCTAAGCCTGAATTTGTATTTTTATCTCTCAGCTTTAAATGCTACATGTCTTCAGTTATAACCTGAGAAATATTCTAAGCTCTATAAATTTCTTTTTCATATATTGTGTTTATATTCTCTTTCACACATAATGGCATATATAGTGTTTAATGTTCGCTATAAAATTCTGTGATTACCCCTTAATATGTTGAAATAAAAAAATTCTGTGATCCTAGTATTCTTGTACTTTTTCTACCTTGAGAACTTAACATTTTTAAGTTTTTATTTCATTTTATTCTTTTAATTCATATTTTTTATTTTTTTGACACAGTCTCACTGTGTTATCCTGGGGTTGAGTGCTATGGCATCATAGCTCACAGCAACCTCAAACTTTAGGACTCAAGGAATCCTCCTGTCTCAGCCTCCTAACTAGCTGGACTATAGGCACCCACCACAACCACCAGTTACTTTATATTTTTAGAGATGGTGTCTTTGGGCAGCACCTGTGGCTTAGCGAGTAGGGCACTGGCCCCATATACCAAGGGTAGTGGGTTCAAACCTGGCTCCAGCCAAACTGCAACAGAAAAAAAATAGCAGGGCGTTGTGGTGGGTGCCTGTAATCACAGCTACTCAGGAGGCTGAGGCAAAAGAATTGCCTAAGCCCAAGAACTGGAGATTGCTGTGAGTTGTGACACCACAGCACTCTACTGAGGGTGACAAAGTTAGACTCTGTCTCTAAAAAAAAAAAAGAAATGGGGCCTCCCATTTGGTCAGGCTGGTCTCCAACTCCTGGGCTCAAGCAATCCCTCTGCCTCGGGTTTCCAGAGTGCTAGGATTACAGGCATGAGCCACCGCGCCCAGCCTCTTTTCCAAGTTTTTATTTATTTAGTTAGTTACTTTTTTTTTTTTTTTAGTTGGTTGGTTTTTGAGACAGAGTCTAACTTTGTCACCCTTTGTAGAGTGGTGTCAGTTCACACCAACTTCAGACTCTCTTGGGCTTAAACAATTCTCTTGCCTCAGCCTCCCAAGTTGACCTACCACAATGTCTGGCTCTTTTTATTTTATAATTATTGTTATTTTTATTTTTTTCAGACAGAATCTCAAGCTGCCAACCTAGATAGAGTGCTGTAGCATCATAGCCCACAGCAACCTCCAACTCCTGGGCTCAAGCGATACCTCTTGCCTCAGTTTTTCTATTTTTAGTAGAGATAGGGTCTCACTTTTGCTCAGGCTGGTCTCAAACTCATGAGCTCAAGCTATCCACCCACTTTGGCCTCCCAGAGTACTAGGATTACAGGCACCTGGCTATTTTTAGGGACCAAGTCTCCAACTCATGAGCTCAGGCAATCTACCCACCTTGGCTTCCCAGAGTGCTAGGATTACCAGTGTGAGCCACTGCGCCTAGCCTTTTCCAAGTTTTAAAAGGTGTTTTAGAAAGATGTCCTC